GTTTCGGGCCTGGACCCGAAACGTCAGCCTTCCTGCTCCTCTGATGCTGCTTGGCCTGCTGTGTTCGTCCAGCTCTACACCTTGTTATCTCTAGTAAGGAGAGCAAACTGCATTGTAGCCATATTTGATAATCATCTAAAAATAGGTAGGAAAGCAAGCTGCAAGTATAATGTTGGAAAACGTGAGGTTTTCCACTTTGGGAATAAGAATAGAAAAGCAGTGTACTATTTAAATCAAGAAAGTTTGCAGAATGCTATGGAAGAGAGGGATCTGGGTGTACTGGTATATGAATCACAAAATCACTGAAATGCGGAATCATCCTGTAAGTGGATCAGAGATATGTCATGAGGGTTCTTAGAAGGTGGCACATATGGATGTCTGTGGATTTTGGGTGCATGTGGCTGGAGCCCATGAGCCTGTCATGATATGTTGTTATCTGGTTTGCAACAACGAGGTCCTTCAGAGCAAACAGCAAGCTGAAATGCCAGGTGTTTCCTCATTGAGTTTTCTTGACATCGTGCTTGTTTGGGGTGAGTTCAGTAAAATATTAATGAGGCAGTTTGTGGCAAGGTACTTAACAAGCATTAATTTCCATTGAATAACATTTCTGTGCTGCATGGTGAAAACCGAACCACGTTGCTTGTGAAAAGCATAAAAGGTGAAATGAGATGAACTCAATGTTGATATGAACCTTGCTGGACTTCTCCTCTGATTTTGCCACACATTTTGCCTCTTTTGTCTCATAAACTTGCATTCTGTTGCAAAAAAATCTGAAGCTTATATGAATCTGTTTCAGTGACTAACCATTAACCGATCGTAACAATTAAACACATTAAACACAGGTTTCATTTTGGACCTCAGCTGTCCAAAGTTATCATCAGCTGGGATCATACAACAGAAGTTCAAAGGAGCTTCCAAAAAAGGTGTGGTCAAGTAACCACAGGCTCAAAATTAGACATTCTAAATTGAACCACAGCTAGAGAAATCAGGCTTGACAGAAAATTGGCCAAACTAAATTAAATAGCAGTCAGCTGGCTACAGAGAACAGTGTAAACGAGAATCAAAAGTTCGAGGGGAATCAGTTACAACCAGCCTTAGGCTTATGTACTGACTGCCTCAAAATGTGCACTTTACACCTCCCAGCATGGCAACTGTGAAGGGTGTTGATGTGACATTTTGGATGATTTAAACCTAGCTCATGATCCCATTGGCCAAAGGCCACAGAACATTATGAAAGATCTGGTGTGAGGAACGAGAAAAACACACACACACCTGGAAGCCAGCCCCTTGATGAAGGCACAATGAGGACTCACAGCAACAAGACTCATGGCAAAAGACTGTGCAGTAACCCAGGAAGACCCAGGAGAAGATCTGCCCTTACCTGTAAGACACACTTTGGTAGAAGAGAGCCAGCCTATGTGAGAAAGGAAGGAGATTCTAACAGCCTAGCTCAAACATATGGATTACATTGGATTCAGGTTAGTATATTTTCTCAGACAGCTAGAACGAGACAGAAAGTAACTATTGTGGGAATTTGGGAAATGTTTACATACGTTTTAGCAAGGAATATTTTGTTAATAAAATCACATTGAACAACAAACCAAATTCTGTGTCTCTTTGTCTGCCTCACCAACAGGAGGACTTGGGTAAAGTGTTTTCAATACATAAACTGGTTGAAGTGTCCAAAGAACAGACAACAAAGATGACTTTGATCAGCTTGTCTCTGGTACAGCTTCTCTTAACCATTGTATGATAGCTGAGATGATTGATTTTTAATGTCAAGCCATCCTGAATGATGCATCTTCTATCTTGATGGGATTGAAAGGAGCTGTTCATATTCCCAGGGGTACCATTGTCTCCATGGACTTTGTTATTCCATGGAGTGGAATATAACTCTACACATGCAAATTAGCAGCCACTGTTAAGCTGGAGTCCTTTGTTTGGCCTATGTGTTATTTTTTACAAGAAGTTCCATACACATATATATATGTGTACGTAATGACCAGCCAATGAAATCACAAATTCATATTCCATATAACACATCTTCATGACACCTTCTAGAATAAAATGTTGAGAGGAGATTAAGTAAATGAGCTCAAAACCATGGTCGGTCTTGAAAGTGTTGATGGAGAGAAAGTGTTCGTTTTGGCAAAGGTGTTGAGAATAACAATACACAGAAACACTGGATTTAAGACCAGGAGTTGACTGCTTGGCCCCTCAACCATGCTCTGCCATTCAATAAGGTCATGGCTGATCTGGTTGTGATCTCAAATCCACTTTGCTTTCTACTTGCCATAACCCTTGATTCCATAAAGATTTTAGACGATTGGCCCAAGAGCCACAGATAACATGAGAGAAAAGAAACATGTATGGAATGTGTGAGAGGCTGGTGGAGTCAGATTACATTGTAGCTTTGAGAAGGGATCTGGATATACATCTGAATGTAAAAGAATTACAGGGTTTTGGAAAGTTGGTGAAGGAGTGGAACAAGCTGAACTGTTCTTAGTGACAACTGCCCAAGTAGCTCCTTTCTGAACTGTAAAAATTCCATGGTTTCAATTATCTTTTCAACTTGTGAATTCCTAGGACTTTCTCAGAGTTTAATCTGTCCTCATAGCTTAAGCTTTGGAGACTACATGTAATTGTCATAAATCTAAAATTATATGTCCCAAGGCCAAAATATCCTCCCTAAGCATTGATCCTTCTTAAAATATTGAATCCAGAACTGCTCACAATACCCAGTGTGTGCTCTATCCAGTGTTTTGACCTGGCTTGAATTGAATACCCTTGTATTCTATTCCTGTGGATATAAAGACCAGAATTCTGTTAGCCTTTTTGATTATTTGCTGCACTCATTCATGATATTTTAATGACTTGTTTACTTAAAGCACCAAGTCCCTTTGGATCTCTACTTCTTTTAAAGCTTTTCACCATTTTGAAAGTGCCCTGTTCTAGATCCGAATCAGATGACCTCAAATTTGTCCCCCTTCAAATCCATTTGCTACAGTTCTGCCCATTCACTTCATCTTATCAATGTCTCTGTAATTTTATGCTATCATTTACATTGTTTAGAATGCCATTTATCTTTGCCTCATCAGCGATTTGGATAAACATAGAAACATGGAAAATAGGTGCAGGAGTAGGACATTCAGCCTTTGAAGCCTGCACCACCATTCAGTATGATCATTGCTGATTATGCTATCTCAGTATCTCATTCCCGCCCTTTCCCCATACCCTTTAA